TTTCAGAAAGCATGATGACACTTCTAATAAGCCGCTCTTTAGTAAGTTTAAATCGATGTTATAGTGTCTCTGTCCTTCTCTTCGGTTAGCACAAACAACCGGACGGGGGATAATTGCGTAAGTTACTCGATCACGGGTTAAGTTCATTAGAAACTGAAGAGGTACATGGGATGGAAGAATGACTAATGGCGCAATTAAGGATTATAAGATTGTCTACATTTGCAATAAGTGTGCGCTGTAGAAGTTAAGCTAGTACGAAACTTTTCCACGTGTATACTTCTAGGAACTCTCTTGGTATAGGTACTGCAGTTGCTATTTGTATGACAGTAGCGACTTCTCAGATCAGTGTGACAAGGTAAATTAATTTAAAGGACTTTTTAGCTCCTACCGATTGCGGTGTTTGAAGGATTTTTTAGGGATTGAGTTGAGAACAAACGTCATTTGAGTGCGCCTTTGCTAGGCAGGACAACAACTGTTCCTTTGTTTTTTTAAGAGGTTGGTTAATTGTTTGGCTAACTTATTTCTTTTCACCAGAAGAGTTAGCAGTATATATGGACATAGATGTTTTCCGTAAGTGCCAAGTATTATTTTCTTTTGTCGAACTAAGCCGATAACTTATTAAAAATCTTAAATTCGAGGGTCCAGAATTCCCTATCTCCAACCATGAAAATTTGAATTATCATATGTAGGGTCAACTGAATGGTTTTTCTAAAGTGAACGTTCCGTGTGCTCTTGATTGTCTTTATGGTTTTCTTAATAGTCGCTATTTTTATGTGAATATGTATGAAAAGCTTAATCCTGCTTTTTTCTGTGCAATTGGAGCTTTGTGCACCAATAGGGCAATTTCCTGTTAATACTCGTATTACGTTTATGTTCAAATACTGCGATAATTATGTTTGTGGTGCTATTGACGCTTGCAAGTTTGATCCTTTAAAGACCTTGTTTTCCAATTGCATTAAAGCCGCCAGTTGGTCTTTGCCAGTCGAGCGCCTGCGCTGAACTCCGTCGAGTGCTCTCAGCTTTGCAAGAACGCCTCATTAAAACCTCTGAGCTGTTGGTGGAAGCAGAGACAAAATTGGCAGCCTTCGAAACTCAAAAACTAAAATCAGAGTTAGGACAGAAGTCCGACAAACTGCCAGTACTGCCTACGCCAGACACACAGAATGCAACCAATCCGGCTGGTTTACAGCTCATTGGAGCACTAAAAGTCTTGCTGCACAACAAACGCTACTATTCGCAGAAGCCAACGGAAGTAGCAAATCTAGAACGCAATGACATCGAGGTCTGTTTCCACCTCTTAGGCTGCCTGGAACGCTGGATATTCTCACGAACCAATCGGATGAACTTGGTCGAATCAATATTGAGACAACGCGTACTTGAATTGCAGCTGTGCCTCTCCGATAAGGTTATTAAGTCATTTTTTCAAAAAACATTCTTTGAACGTAATGCTGCAATTACTAGAACAATTTATAGGTGAAAAACGAATCACTTAAAAGTGATTTTCTGTGACCTATCTTGAGTGTGGGGGAGGGGGGTATACAGTTGTCTCATTTTGATTGTAGACCCAGTTTTGATTCATGGTAGTCCCTGTGCTCCTTACTTGTAGCAGTCTAGTTATTGAATCCCCATCGCAGTGTGGATTATCGACTCTCGTCTTCTAGTGCCCCTGGAGGTTCATAAATATCGCATTATTAATTATAGCTAGTTGAAGCAAGAGATTTTCGGTTCGTAAACTTGAGGTCGACACTGCCTACTTCCATTTCTATTTGAGAACTAAGCTGTTTACGTACCGTTCGAGTGTATCGTCTCGAAAAAGTTGTGACCAAGGGTAAGTGCCCTTTACATGTCAAAACTTATTCTCATGTCATGGATAATTTGGGCCGCTTGGGACTGGATGTTTTACCTTAAGTTCAGTTAATTCCTTCATGAGCCTGTCCAGGAACTTCTGCTTGACACCGTGCGGGTGGAACTATATTTGGAGAAGGTTCGCTTTCAAGAATCCAACATGAAAATTATAGCTTTCTAGTAGGGAACCCACCGTTTTCGACGGTTCGATTACTATGGATAATTGGATGGTTTTTCAAGTGTTTTTTAACAACCTCAAAAAACATCTTCCTGTGGGTGGAGACCTTACTCCTAAGTCGGGTTCCGTAAAGTAAACGCGCCATTGTCGAACGTTAATGCGGTGTTCGTGGAGAGCTTTTCACTCACATTTTCATCAACTTTTCACGGTGGTTTACGAGGCTCAGATGATTAGAGCATTGGCCGTACTCAAGCCTTTCTCTTGTTATCGTGGGTTCAAATCTCACAATTGGGTTAGGCTGTGGACATTGGTCATGGGTCAGGTATATAGAGTGCTAATTACTGTCATTTGCACAGAGCGAACTACTGTCACTAAGGCCAATGTGCGATCAGCACCTGGTGTCGGGGTCAGCCACAGAAATGAAAGTGCTTGTGTTAGCGTCTTCTGAAAACACAACACTGGTTTCGCTCACCGTATAACCACTGCTTCGGCTGTTGGAAACAGCCCGTTGGCGTAGGTCCTTAAAAAACTTAGCTGATGTCCAGTAGACAACCTGAAAGGCTTCATTAGTATCGAATCGATGATTCTTATCGACAAGGTGTGCGATAATAGAACTTGAGATTGATCTAGTTTCTACTGATTTCCTATATATTCCGGTTCGTATGCTTGCATGCAGACATTGTAACCTGGCTCTACTCACAACTGACGCTCAGGTTGCAGTGGCCCCTTTTCAGTGTCGTTTTTAAGGTAGTTTGCATGAATTGAACTCTAAGGGACTTACACGTGCTTAACGTTCAGCCTGGGTGCTTGTACAGCAGCAAATGGGTCTCTTGACAGTCTTAGTCGGTCTCTCTAGTCTTGTTCTCCTTTTTGTCCAGTGGCATATGCGTCCGGTCTGATAGGCTCGGACGATATTGCCTCGTTGCATGTAGAGCATTTGCTAAAGAATAAAACTCGAGATTGATTTATTTTCACCTTTATTCAACCAAGCCGGTATGTGTCCATGCACCCTCTTTTCCGGATGCCGCGTTGTTCGGCCAATGTATCCTGCTCCACAAGAGCAAGTGAAAGAGTAAATGCGCGTGTGTGTGACCTTCAAGGGGGTTGTTCTTTACCTCCCAACCGTAGGACGGTAGATTGCGTAAATAGCACCGTAAGTTCGCCACGGTGAAAGCGCTTGTGATCCCAACCCTAGTGACAGTCGTTCGCTCCGTGTAAGTCACAGTAATTATCACTCCATTTTTCACACTTGTCAAACGAATTACTTAAATCTGTCAAAGCAGCAGGTAATATCAAAGATGATTTGTTCGTGGCAATTGTGTTTCCGTCTGAAATGTGCACTGAATTTTTGTAATTACGAGTTGGCCAGGTGCAGTTTTTCATATGTGAATGCCTTTTGGGAAATACCAAAGTGAGCTTAGTCAAATGGTGAATGCTTTGTCGTACTGAAAAGATACATATCAGCTAAAAAGCAGGCCACGTGTCCCGCTGATTTTATGCAGTTTTATGACGGCGGTTTTTTCTCATCAAAAGATATCCCAGCATGCCTCATATGCTAGTCGGTGTATACCCCACTTCGTCTTTACGTTACACGGGCAATATTTTTCTGCCATCATTTGTACAAACAATATTTTCTTGATGTAATTTAAGTATACTGCCTGGGACTAGCCTGTGTGACTAAAGTCGTGTTTTCGGTAGCTATATCACTGCTTACTTTAAGTTCTGCATGTTCTTTGCATCAATACGACCACAGTGAATCTAATGCATTGCTTAAAACAAAGTTCAGGGAATAACATCATTATTTTTAATTCGTAAAGGAGCATGCCGATGATGCATCGTCCGCACTACAGGAAAGCCTTAATGCACAAAAACAGGAGATCACGGATCTGTATCAGAAGCTTGATCAGTTACAAGACGAACTAGAAGTCACAAAGGCGTGTTGTGGTGGTCAGGTAAGCCTTCAGCATCATATGCATTATGTGTTACCAACTGTCTTCCTACATCTACCATTTCCCGCCTGGAAGATGTGTCGTTTTTGAAAAATAAGCTTTAGCCGCTTGCAACAGCAGTTTGTGCATGCAGTGCAGTGTCAGTGCATATATCAAATAATGTTTTGATTAGCTGTTAGTACTAATCTCCCGTAGCTTTCATCAACTTGCACGCAATCTTGCATGTTCACGCGTGGCGTGGCTGCGCCATAAATATTACTTGTGAGCTTAACTACGGACTACTTTTATCAAACATCTAGCTTTCGCACCGCCGGGCCGTACTTGAGAGCTTCGTTGACCTTGTAGACACAGTATGACTCTTGGGCACATATCGACCATTTACCCTGGAGGATTTACTCGCACAATGTAGGCATTCTTGTTATATCATCAATTCATCCATAGCAGAGACATGTCCAGTTCTAAAAGATAGCCGTTTAGTTAAGCAGATGATCGTCTCTTTATGCTGTTTGTGTGGTATAGGGAATAAAATTGCACATTTGTACAAATTCACAGTTGTATCCCCCATAGCGCTGTTGCTATATCAAAAGTAATTTTATTTTTCGGAACTTGTTTCGCGTTATTTGCATGCACTGAAAAACGGATTTTGAGTGTCGCGATGGCTGTCTTCAGGAACTTTTGCCATTTGGCTTAACTTCCTCAGGCATAAAAACCATGTGGCATTAGTCTGCCATAGCTGTTAGAAGGACATCACGTGGATATGACACATGTTGTGTTTTCGGCAATATCTCCCGTTTTTCTGTGAAAAATGTTCAACATATGTTATGCAGTACAAAAAGCGCTTTAAGCCACCGTTTGACACCATGAAGGAATACTGGGGTTACATGATACACGATGCTGGCAGCACAGGTACTAGCTGAAAGCCCAGACACGTGTTTCGCTGATATTCTGCCGTTGCATGGCGTTGCTATGAGGTGTTCGGCTCACCACTGGGTCCCCAGCATTCTTTGATGGTTTTCTGTTAGATACGCCAGGCTTAAAATTGTTGCTTTTTAATTTCCTCTGAACTCAATCGCTAACTTGGTAGAATCAACTTATGCTGGGTCTATAGGCGCCGACTGAAAATTAGTATGAATGTTTGGACTGAATTCCAATCCTAGCGGGAACGCGCCTATAGACTGTGGTATAAACTGATTTATCCTAAATTGCCGACCCATTTCGAAGAAAATTAAAAAGCAATCACGAAAGAGCTTCGCACGACCCGAGGTGCATCCCATCTGCTATTCCCATTTGAATTTCGGTTGTCACTTTTCATTTACTTCGCCATGAATCGTGCGTTTCTTCGTGGTTTAAAGCTTTCAAAGCGTTCGCTTTACCCTTCCATCTGCTGCACTGAATATATAGTGTTTAACGTTCTACAAAACTAGTTTCTTATTAGTTTTCCTCCAAGATCAGCTATACCATTGGGTTTAAAGGTATGTTGTGTTTCACAATTTTGCCATACTCATCACAAGAACTTACTGAGGCATTATTCGAAAGTGGCAGAGGAAGCAGATTTAATAATAACTAAAACAATGGGCTTAACCACAAAATCCGCTATCGAAGATAATAGTGCCATTTGTCTTTGCCCTAGTCTACAATAAGTTGTATTTGATGATTACATACGCACATTTTTCCTATTAAAATGTTCAATTTCCTTAGTTTATTTCTGTGGAAGCTCATTCCCAACACTGGCAGTGGTACATTTGACAAAAATTACTTTAATGTAAAGCTCGCCTTTAAGCAATTATCACTCAAGTCTACTTTAGCTCCTTCTTTAATTCAAACATATAAGGGGAATGTGTATAGCAAAATAAGGGGAACAGTGTCCTCGTTAGGAAGGACCGATGGAACTCTGACACTCAGTTCCAAGCAGTACCCAGTTACCCTGTTGGTTGGAAAACCTCCAAGCCTCGACCGATACCATGTCCCGGTAGGTCCAAGAGCGACAGATTGCTTTTATTAAGGAATTCATAGATTCGCCGCAAGAATGAATCCCTCCTCATTGTCGCTTTCCGCTCCCGTGAAAAATAAGGCAATCCGAACATTTTAACCAAGTAGTGGTGAGATAGGACTACATAATACTACAGTTAACCAGATCGTAGGCGCTTGTCTTTTGGACCATAAATTCAGTCTTGTTCCCCAGTCACTTCAAACTAACAAATTATATTCATCTCCCATTTTGCGAGAATGCAAATGACAGGGTTGTTGCGAATCTGCTCGGGGATTAGTGCAGCTTTGTAATAAGGAAGATGAAGATGATAGAAAGTAGTTCACCGTTAAAGAAAGGAAGTGCATACCGGAGTTTTCCTGGGGTTGTTTGCTGGGACCCTGGTTTTTCGTAAAGTATCCGATCGTAGTACATAAGTCGTACATCCATTAAGTGCTCTTCAAACAATTTTTTGAATATGAACTTAAACACTATGCTGTGTCAGTGAAGAATAAGACATTTTATTGAAGGTCTTGTGAATATATGTAAGTTCAGAACGTTCAGAACCTCTTATCTTTTCCTCCCGACATGTGCTAAGAAAGCTTACATTTCTTACCGTTTAGAAAACAAGTATGTTAATACCAATGGCAGTGTACATCTACCTCAAACACGCCCAAAGCGATTGCGACTGAACTTTTATGGGCAGGTCAGAAACGCTCTAACCTTTAAAAATAGGCAATGATGGCAGCTCAGGCACTTACGTCTTTTAGCACATAACCTCTAGGGAGAATGTTTTGTGCATGATAAGAATTTGGTTCTGAATTTGTTACAGCATATTGCGCTTATTTTCCTTACTAGGCCGTATTGGGACATTTACAGTAATCCCTATGGTAATTTTTTATTTATATCGCCTTACAGAATGCCAATCTATACCTTTTGTCATCTCTCTCGGATCAAGCCACATCGTGAGCACTCCTGATTCCGCAATCACTAGTTTTCACCGCTGCGCACAGCTGGCGCTGGTGATACTGACAGAACTATCTCACTGCTCCCTGGTTTGCTAACCTGACGCCACCCCCATTTTTATACTTCTCACGTCAGTCTACTTTATGTGCGTTCCATCACCTGCAAAGGGGACTTATGTGGTTCAAGCGAATGCGACCTATGTGACCGGGCGGTAATCGCCTTTTGTTTGTTTTCTTTTCCTTCTTTTGCGCGGACGTAGTTAGTCCCTCTTGGCATTTCTCTGGTATTCAATAAAAAAACTTGAAAATGCTGTGACCGGATCACATACTGTCTGCCCGTCATGTTGCATATACCATTGTCGACAAGTTATCACATAGAAGTACGACAAATGTATTTTTTTTCACCACTTATCTACTCACTGTTAAAGTTATTTCCTATACTCTGTGCGCTGGTAAAAATAACCGACAATTTCGTTCTAAAATGTTTTCTTGGGGGGGGCAGTGTTTGTAACTTCCATTTTTTTCTAGATATTCCGGAGTTCGCGTTATTTTACAGTCCGGCTACTCAAAGGGCGTAGCAGAGCTGACGACTTGTTGAAAGATCTCTCTACTGGAAGACTAATTTTTGCCCTAGTCTATTTCTTAAAAGGTTGCGTTATTTACACTACGGTAAGTATTCGATTTGGAATTTCTGAAAAGGACTTAAGATGACAATAGAAGGAGATTAGAAGTGGATGCGGGGTCGAAGCCACCTCTATTTGCGTACAAAAAATAAAAAATAATTCAGACGATTTGTACAATACAGTCTGGCTCATCGTCTAACGTTATTTAGGGGCAGTGCAACATACACGACATAGCAGCTTAACTGTGACTCCTAATCCACTTCATTTCACTGTTAGCGATACATGTAGCAATGTAAAAGTGAACGCTCTTTCACAAACATGGTACTCCGCTTTCTGGAAAATTGTGTTGGAAGGTCCAAAAGTAAATTAAAACCTAAAACTAATTAAGCACTATATGCTACCTAGGATCGGCCAGGGCAACGGACGTCACCAGCATTGCTCATAGGGGTGGAGTTGGGATGTTCACGGGCGCGCAGAATTTTCAGATAGAAAAATAAGCTGAAACTGCCTGGTTGTGAAAAGCTGGCCCTTATGGGTGAT